CCGGGCGGGTGGGGGGGGGGGGGGGGTCATGTGGCCCCTCAGCCCCTCCTCACGTGTCCCCAGCGATTTTCCTAACACCGTGACACTCATTCTGCCGCTGCCGAAATCAGTAGCGGATTCGGGATCCCGTTGACTTCAGTGGGTGTGACAAGGGGGTTGCCATCTCCCACTAGAGTCCGTGGGAGTTGAAGGCGACTGTGGCCAGATTTTCAGCGATGGCACCTCAGCATTGAAGTCAACGGCGCCGACGGTCACCCGCCACGCAGGTGGCCCCAGCTGCAAGGCAGGAAGAGGCTCCTAAGAGGCTCTTGGTTCACTCAGGGGGCCCACTAGTTCTCTGACCGGCCTCCCCCAATGCTGGATCCCACTGATGTGCAAAACGTTGGGATTCCCTGAAGGACTAACCGACCCACCACGGCCATGGCCGATTCACTCCAGCTTGGGATGTTAAATATCGATGAATGGAATAGTCGATGCACCTCATGAATTCTTATCGGTTACTCAACTGCTTTGTCGTCCCCAGGGCTGGGGTTGGCAGCCAGTGCAATCCGGCCCTGCTCCCAAGGAGCCCCCCCGGCTGCCTGTCTGGGGGGGCTGAGCTCCCGCACCTGGGGTGAGCTGGAACTGAGTCAGGCTTCCTGCCTGCCTGGCTCCTAATACATTTTAAATGCAGAGACACCACTGGGGTAGGTCCCGGACCCAGGGCGAGCCAGGACTGAGCCAGGCTGCTAAAAAATTTACTGGTGGGGGGTGGAGGGAGTGCCTGTCGTCTATATCAATAACCGATAACGTTTTGCTTATCAGTTTATCGGTTAATCAACTACACGATTACATCCCTAACTCCCACATCCCAAAGATCAGTAACCATGGAGAAATAAATAAGCTTTAAAACAAACCTATTCCATAAACGAAATCCAAACGAGTGTGTTTTCCAGCCAGCCTCCCCTATTCACCTGTTAAGCATGTACGAGGCTGGGGCCGGTCAAGACAACACTCTTGCGCATTCCAGACTTCCAATTCAGAGCCCCCCTCTGCAGAAGGACCTGAAGGCATTTCCATGCCAACTGTTGAATGGCAATCTTCCTCAACAACGTTCGGGGGCGGGAGGGGACTTGCTTTGCATGTCTGCTTCGGCTGGGTTATTCTGTCCAGTTTGGCATCTCCTGCCCCCCTCTCTTCCATCCAAATCGCCAGCCCCTTGGAAAAAAAAATCAGCAAATTAATCAGGCACATGAACAATTTAATGGACAAAGGTTGGGTCCCTTTGTGAGTTACTAATGAATGCACGCCACTTTTTTTTTTTTTTTTTTGGCTGAAGCCCTTACCAACGCTTGACGCTCTAAATCTTGTTTTCTTTCATTCAAAGAGCGACAGCTGGGATTCGGTCGAAATTCGGCAGCTATTGTTAAAGGAGGCAGATTAATGCTGTGTGACTAATCATGTATGGCTTCCCCGAATGCATAACTCTTTCCATCCCCCACCCCAACCCTACACCCCTCCTTTTCTTGGGGTCTTTCTTTCTTTCTTTCTTTCTTTCTTTCTTTCTTTCTTTCTTTCTTTCTTTCTTTCCTTCCCCAACTCCCGACTTACATTGCATGTGCAGATGGAAGTGGAATCTAATTAGATCTGATGTATGCAATCTCTATTAAAAGGAGGAATAGTGTCTGTCTTTTAGAAGAGAAAAAGAGAGAGTGTGGTATCTGTGAAGAACTTTGCTGGTAGTCATAAATAACTTACCTCCTTGACCACAAATACAGAGCCGGTTTGTAATTGGGTGAGCCGTTTTTGCTGAAAACACAGCTTTCGGTAGTTGTTAATATTGAATGCAGTCTGTGTAGGTTGAACTTTTAATGGGTGATGATTTGGGGAAGGCAGATTAGGTAGGGACCGAGACGGATGATTGTAACTTCCATAGGGGTTAGCAAACTCTTATTTTTCAGACTTCTCCAGGTATCTCTTTACTGGGAGTTTTGCTTGCAAGCCCCATAAACAAAACAAAGTGAAGAGCAGAGATAGCAGAAGTGGAAAAAGTCGGCGCCTCCCTTTGGAACGAAGCGCACCATTTTGGCTAGAGGCCACATCTCAGTTTGGGCCTGGCACTTCACCCAGTTTGGCCATAAAGCCCCATTGTGCTCCCCCCCACAAATCCAATTAGAAAGTGCAGTGAAATAAATCGTGTAGGAGGGAGAAGCTACTCCAGTGGAGAAGTATCTCTGCATTTGTTGTGGTTACTCATTACAGGAGTGAGAGAG